GTTGATGGATTTAGTAGGCAAAAGCATGACGCAATTGCACAGCACCACGAGCTCTGTAGCTGTACGTGGATATATATAGAGAAAACAAGGAGATTATTAACACTGGATAAAAGATCGATAAGCACCTTAGTAGGAGCAATCACAGGACACAGTGAAGTCGCTCTATAAGTGGCACCTCGGGACCGATGAACTATGTCAAGAATGCTCTGATGAGGATGAAACAATGGAGCATATACTGTCACTTTCGAGCCCTCCAGGAGGAACGCCTACACCACCTGGAGCAAAGTTTTCTGAAGGACCTGGAAGACGCGGGAAAGATAAGGACAATGGAAATACTGAACTTCGTAAAGACCATGAACTGGAACAAAACGAAGAAAGGAGGAATAGGTTAAAGAACCATGTACCCTGAAAAAGGGATCACAATGGGCCAATGGGCCCCCGAGTGCAAGCTGATTTCTAGAGAAATCTCGAAAATGTGAATTGTGTACAAACCTACTGGTAGAAGCGTTATTGTGTGTTCATTAATTTGAAAAAAATACCTCGATAGCTTTAATTACGAGTTTAAAAAATAAAACAGTGGAAAAAAACAATGTATTATAAAATATGGGTAATTTTTTCACTTTTTTCTCAAAGTTCCTAGACCCAATTACTCCAAATTGCAGGTATATATTCTTTTAACCAATTCAGAAATACTTAAGCGAATTTCTCGAAGTTTGTAAAACATTTATTGGTACATACATCGCTAGGTATAGGTATTATCTTTGATCAAAGAATCTAATTAAAAGTACCGAAAATAAATGAATAAATATGTGTCTTCTGGATTTAAAAAAAAATCAAATTAAACAAGCCACATAAAATTAAAAAGTAATTAGTCCCATTAGTCATTATGAAGTTCATGGGCAACAAATAACATAAACAAACAACTCACCAGTGATAGCAGCAAAGTACTGGATACATCTTCTCCCAAACAATTTTCTCACATCAAAAGAATCTGTGGACAACATTGTTATGCAAACACTCAGGAAAAACTGACAAATAAAAAAACTAATAGGTGCGAGCTCAATACCGCATAAAGTCTAGGTATTCCTTATCAGAGAACGTTTCTGCTAATAACTGCATTGTTATTTCCGGTACCTGATTAATTTTTCTTGAATGAGTAAAAAATCAGTTGCCAAATCACAAATTTTATTCTAATTAATTAAGGTTTTGTGATTGGATGGCTGTTAAAATCTATGACGTAATTCAAGAAGTATCTATGAGAAGTTCCTATTCAGTTAAATAAATGATTTGGTAGCTATTTACAATACAGGGTGTCCGGGAATAAAATGTAACAAAATTTATTCAGATGTTTGAAAAAAATATATATCGAGACTACATTTAGTCACAACTGGCAACAGCGCAATCTAAGCTTTAGGCCAGCCGCCACCTGGAACACCTGTTCGGGCTTTGTCGATGGAAACTTCTTCGATTTGATTGGTAAAAGATTTGTCAGTTTTTGACGCGTTCCAGGGATTTTGAATTTTTCCACTTTTGAAGTGCTTTTAGGCTCGTAGATCGCTTTTTGGGCAAATATACCTACCTAAAATACTCCCTCCATTTGAGATTTTATGCTTGAATTACGTATTTAAATTTTCGTGAAAGAGCCCAATTAATCAGTTGTTTTTCTGGAAAAAGATACGTTTCACGAAAAAATTTCAAGAGACAAAAAAATTTCTAAATTAAATGGGCCCTCTAACAGAATAAAATTTTCATACGCAAACAAAGTTTTGAGGCTCCAAAGATAGGGGGCGCACGAAAAAGTGTCTTAAGTACCAAACATGTAGTGATTCTCGTACAACAGGCCTCTGAGAAAAAAAAAAACTATTCTTAGGGACGAATTTTATATAGGGGGCTGTAACTCCAAAAATAAAAAATACCGGTTCCCAATTTTTCTTCTAAAAATCTTAGGAGCAAATTTCCAAACACCCTGTGCATGTCAGTTGCCATGCCAGGTACTGGGATCACAGGCTTTAATATAATTTTTCATCGTCTTGAGCGCCAAAAAAATCCAAAGAAAGAGAAACAAACCAATAATGCAAATGTTTATTGTTGTGCCTATAACACGCGCATCTACCTTGCACGATAAATTTAATTGATTTTGATAAGAAAACTCATAAAAATTATGGCTAAAAACCACAAGGTGATTTAAATAATGGCATATTGCGAAATTACTAGGAATATTGAATCATAGAAAAATTATGAATGAAAAAAAAATACGAAATCAAAGTTTTGAGGATCTAAAACCCTTCTTTGGACCACTAAAAAGTGTCTTGAGGAAGTCCTTCGCCTTAAAGTATAGCACTATCCAATGGCCCGATAGCCCCCACTTTCAGCGTGCCACTGATTATTCAAAAACTGTACATAGGATTGAATTCATATTAACATGGAAAGGTTGATGGGGTAGTCAGAAACAGGCAAATACCAGTAGCGTACATTCGATCGACCTACGAATGAAGAACCATACAAAAATATAAAATTGTATGATTATTCAAAAACTGTGCCTACATAAGAACCTGTATAATTATTCAAAAACTGTACATAGAATTGAATTCATACTAACAGGAAAAGGTTGAGGGGGTAGCCAGAAACAGGAAAATACCAGTGGCGTACACTCGATCGACCTACGAATAGAAAACCATACGAAAATATACAAAACTGTATGATTATTCAAAAACTGTAAATAGGAAACTGTACGATTATTCAAAAACTGTATAGGATTAAATTCATACTAACATGGCAAGGTTGAGGGGGTAGTCAGAAATAGGAAAATACCAGTGGCGTACACTCGATCGACCTACGAATAGAAAACCATACGAAAATATACAAAACTGTATGATTATTTGAAAACTGTATGATTATTCATAAACTGTGCATAGAATTGAATTTATACTCACATGGAGAGGTTGAAGGGATAGTCAGAAACAGACAGAAACTTCCCTTGCTACTCGTGAGATCTAATATGAGTAACGACAATAAAAACAAAAACAAAGATATTCCTGAAGAGGAAACAATGGAGGTGGAAAATCCGACTCTGGCAACAGAGGCCGGCGAGACACCTTCAACCATCCCTCCAACATCAGACCAGGAACAGGAATTGTTGCGGTCTGATGACGGAGACAGTCGGGAGGCAGTAAGCATCGAAACAAAAAGAAAAAGACAAAGACTATCAGGGGCTCAAAGAAGGAACCTGAGTCGTCTTATCAAGAGCGGGATCTCTCACGATGCCGCTCTGAAAGAGGTTATCGGAAAGCAGGCGACTAAAATCCAGCATCCAGAGGGGGATAAATCCAACTCCGGAGCTGCAGGAAAACGCCTGCGGTCCGACACCAGCACCCCGGAAGCATTTTCAGTAACAGCAGACGCGCTAGACTTCCGGCGACAGTTCGGCTCTTTTCGGATTTTCAGTAACAGCCGACTCTTCGCGGTTGGTTCGACTTGAAGCAGACGTACTAGGTCCTGAGTCGTGTTTCACTGTTTTTACATGTTAGCTTATGCAAAAAAAAAATGAATTAGTTACCAGATAATTATAATTTATAAGAAATTTGATGATAAGATTATCGTTAGATGTAATTTAACATCAAAAACTGATGTTGAGGTAAAGTTTTAGTTTCAAACTGATCAGTTTTTTTTTTCTTGTATGAACACATTATCCCTTGATATGAAATTCAGGCTTTATGAAATAGCGTTTGGAGACAAACTAAATCCAGAGATATTTCTCTCACTTGAAGGAGACTATACTTCAACTATAAGCCAGCCTACACCTACACAATTGTCCGATATTGGTACTGCATCCACTTCAATATATGAAGGTGGAGCAAGTGGAAGTTCCGCGTGTCCTATGAATGTCAATGTTCCTACGATAAAAGAAGTTAATGACTTAAAGGAAGAATGGAAATAATTTTCTGATGAAATCTTGAAACATATTGGTAATGATCCGATTGCTTTTTATCCAGCAATTTCTATTTTCCTAAAAAACAGTCAAAAGTGTGCTGAAAGTAATAATTCCCTTATATCAGGCAGGGTTGCATAATAATTCTTTTAAGTACCATGGAACAGCTGCTAAATTCAAACGTCAAGGTATAAGAAAAGGTAAAATGATAAGTGTGCAGCCAACAAGTGCAGCTAGATGAAAATCTACGATGGGTGGCAAGAAACATTCCCCAGCAATTAGAAAGGTGAAAAGCTTAGTAAAAAAAGTCCAAAGCACCCCATTCTTTACAAGAACGTGTTGATATGAATATAGGCGTAGGTGAAAATAAGTTTGAAAAAATGGTCTCTATTTTACATATTATGATATTATATTAGGTATATATTTGTATCTGTCTCCAACTGTTTTTGTAAATAAATAAATGGATAACTAAATCACAACGTTATGTTTCTTCAGCATAAACACATTAAAATACAGTTTTTAACCGCAGTGTTTTGGAATTAGCTGAAGATAAGAAACAGCAGACGTTCTAGACCTAGACCGTCTGCTATTACTGTCGTCGTCGAAAGCCATTCGGAAATTTAGCGCGTCTGCTGTTACTGAAAATGCACCCCGGAACAGGCAAACAAACGTGCCAGGGCTAGTGCTCCAAGCTACAAGACTGTTGCTGGGGCGTCTAGGGTGGAACTTATCACCCCTGATTACCCCAGCGCAGTCTTCACCAGCGAACAGCTGACTAGCCTGCAACAGGCCGTCCTAGAGGCGGTGTAGAACATGCCAGAAGGCGGTCCGTAGGTGCGATTCCAGGGCTGCACTCATCGCCCAAGATGGTTGCAAATAACCTGAGCCGACGACAGCAGTCTGGTCTGGCTGCGAGGGCGCGACAAATCACCTCAAGCCATGGGAAGGGGCAGAAAAACGCTTCGTAAAAAGCGCAGATCTGCCAAAACCTCACGTCTGTGTGGTATTCTTCCTCGACAACAAGGACGGTCAACGCTTTGCTCCAGAGGAGGTGCTACTCAGGCTGAGGAAAATGAATCATGGCCTGGACACCCGTGAGTGGATAACCCTACATCGGGAAAGCTCGGGCCCAGGTCAGACATGGACCTTTGCCGTCGACGACATATCCTTAGAGGAGTTGAGGTCAATGGACTTCAGGCCTTACTTTGGCTTCGGCCAGGTAAGGTTTCGTCTCAAGGCCAAGGCTTCTCAAGAGGATGCTGGGGAGAAACAGGGTGTAAGCAACCCTCCTGTCGAAAAACCAGAGGCGGCGAAGCCTTCTAGTGGCAAACCAACATCGAGCGGTGAAAAACCACCTAATGAACAGGCGAAAAAAACCTGGAAGGGTAAATCCATCCCGGGTAAAAACCTGAAAAAGGGTACCGGCAAGGGGGAAAAGAAGGGACCTAAAGGCCTTGACAAACCTTCAGGCGAGGGCCCACCACAGACAGGCACTGTAAAATGGCCTCGTGAATAAAAATACTGCAGGCAAACCTGCAGCACTCAAGAGCCCCCACATCCGTTCTTACCAAGGTCTTTAATGATAGATATAGCCCTCATTCAAGAACTTTGTATATCAAACACAGGCCGAGTGACCGGACTGGGCAACACTTCTAGTAAGGTAATGGAACATGCTCATGGGCTAAGGCCGAGAGCATGCATATACTTGCCAGAAATAACATTAACTACTTTGTACTTTCCAGCTTCTACAACGAGGATACTACCACCATTCATGTGATCTTCCCGGGGAAGAGCGGAATTAATCGCCTGCTCAGCATACTTCTCCGGAGACAGTAATACAGAAGCTCCTCCTCCCAGAAGTTCGGAAATTGTTTAACCGAGCTAAAACAACAGGTAACTGGGAAACTAGAGCTGCTCTAACGAATTACAATAAAGCAATAAAGAAAGGCAAAAACAGAATCTTGGAGGAAGCTATGCGAGGGCATAATAGATGTGCCTAGCAGCGCGCGAATCCACAAGACCCTGTCAAAAGAGCGTGTGCAGGACTTAGGGTCGATAAAACGCCCAGATGGATCCTACACACAATCTAGAAAAGAAACGTTAGAGATTCTCGCAGAGAACCACTTCCCAGAAAGTCTGCTGATTAATGGCCTCCAGGATGCCCAACCCAGTGATCGGATTAAACGACCTGGAAGAGAAGACTGGTTGACAGCCAACAAAATATTTACAGCGGTGACCATAAAGGGGGCGGTCTTATCATTCCACCCTTTTAAATTGCCTGGGGAAGACGGCATTTCCCCTGCTCTAATACAGAACGGACTTGGGATCCTGCTTCCATTCCTAATAAGACTCTTCAGAGCCATTCTGGTGTGGAACCATATTCCAACAAATGGATGAGTGGATTTAGGGGAAGACGCTCAGGGCTAACCCTCTTAGTACCCACCAATACGCCTATCAGGCAAGAAAGTCCACAGAGTTGGCTCTTAGTAACGGATCCGATTGCACCAAACTACTTTGCAACTTTCCACTTTCCACTTTCCACTTTCCACTTTGCACTTTGCATATCGTTTTCTGTTGCAACAATGCTATTTGCAAAGTGCATTATCCAAGTGAAAAGTGATAAAAGAAAAGTGTCAAAGCGATGAACTTTTCAAAAAATATTTGATAAGCATTGAACCAACAATTTTTTGTCAAATTTTTTTGAAAAATTTGTCAAATATTTTGCAAGGAGAAATTTGTCTTATCTTAAAAATGATCAGAAGAATTTTTTTTTTCCAGTGACGAAAGTAGCGACGAAGAAAGAATACGGAAAAGTTTATAAAAAAAGAGTAAATTATGATTTAGAAATTTATTTTGTTTTTAAAGAAGCGTTTCGCCTCATAAAATTACAAGTGGAATATTTGCTTAACAAATAGGTGCCCAATTGTCTCACAGCAACATAAGAAATCATGCTCTGGCGCTCCACTGGATAGGAAACGGAACTCAAATGCATGATGTGTCAAGCATGCACGGAGTAGATAAAGCAACGATTTGCAGAACGCTACACAAAGTGATCAGTGCCATATTGCTCGTCGTTTTTAATCTGACACTTTCTGTATGAGGAGCGACGGGGTGAAGCATATGGCAAAAACAGGTGCGACGTCAGGTGACCATTGGCGTTTTAAGGTAGGTAGCCACTAGCTCACATTACTTTGGAGTATCAGCACAGCTAATACAAAAACAATCAGCAGGCTAACTCTCACGCGCATCTTTTCTGCGCACGCCGCCATTAGGGGATACCATCCTGTCATTAAACGGCAGGAGCGCCGAAATTTTATTTTATTTGTTTATTTCTGACGGAGATTATAGGCGTGCGGTGTAGAGCGGAATTTTAGCTATGATTTTGAAAATGATTTTGATATATTCGTGTTGTCATTTATGGTGTTATCTGTTATCATTCTTGTTTATTCAATAATAATAATAAATTAGTAATTATAAACATTATTATATGTAAGTAATAATAAGTATATTAGTTTATTTAAAGCCAATAATACAACTCTGTGACAGGAAAGAAAAAACCTAAATTATCGTTAATCAGGCCCTGTTTCGTATCCCAAAATGGCCGCTAGTGACATTTCGACGATGAATTCCTGTATTACACGGGCTGTCACTCAAGTTAGCCGGCTGATTGTTTTTGTATATGCTGTGGTATCAGATTAAAATCGACGGACTTTATTAAACACTATGGTTAACACGCACGTTTGCTGGTCTTACGAAGGTCAAGAAGTTGCACGTAAATTTTACCAAAAGGGAGGTTTTCCATGTGTAGGTGGAATTGATGGCACCCTGATAAAACTTGATGCCCCTCGAATAATAATAATAATAATAATAATAATAATAATAAACGTCTTTATTTGCATATTCATACATTTATAATATATAATATAATATAATATATGATTCACGCATACAGAACACAGGTGGCGAAGTTTAGCCAATGGCCATTCTTCCACTCAACCATCTGTGCGTCACATTGGGCCAACATTTTAAAGGTAAAACAAAAATAACATGTATTGTAGCATCTATCATCTATATAGGTAACATTAGTTATTTTTTAACAATTGCTTCTTATATTCTAGTCTCAGTTTATATACACTGTATTCTCTAAATGGCAAATTAACTGGGTTCAACAGTTTTACCATACAATAAGAGAAAGTTCTCTGAAATAGCGAAGTTCTGTGTTTAGGCACTGTGAAAGTTGTACCATTTCTTAAGTTTAAACTATGAACATTATGTGCATCAGCCCTACACTCTATTTTTTTATACAAATATACAGGCTCCTTACAATCTAAAAATTTTTTAAAGAAAATCAATGAATATAATTTATACATATTATCACATTTCAGCCAACCAATCGGTTTAATATTAACTGACACAGAATCATATTTCCTTAAACTAAAAACAAACCTACAACATGTATTTTGTACATATTGGATTCTTTTTCTAGTGACTAAATCTAGAAATGGATAGTAGACTATAAAACAATAGTTAAAAATTGATAATCCAAGTGCTTCACACAATTTTTTTCTCATTTTAAAATTAAGTATGTACCTGCTTGTATATATGAGCTTCATCTTAATATAACTATTTTGCAGCAAACTTTGTACATGTTTATGAAACCTTAGATGAACATCCAGGTGTAATCCCAGATTTTTGGCACAGTTGGAAAAACCAAGAACATCAGTGCCAATCTGTATTTTCAAACGATCAGTCAGAAAGTCTCGTAGTCTTTCGGAACAGAAAAGGAGATCTTCTGTCTTTTTAGGGTTAATATTAAAATTATGTTCTGTGGAAAACTTTACAACTCTCTCCAAGTCCTGGTTTAACTCCATTGCAGCATTTTCAGGGTATAAGGGATCAAAATTTAATAGAAGCTGGGTGTCGTCGGCATATGCTTGCAAACGAGAGTTTGAGACCACCGAGAAGATATCAGATGTATAGATAACAAAAAGCAGGGGACCAAGAATGAACCCCTGGGGTACTCCAGAAATCACAGTTCGAGGTTGTGAGAGATTATCTTTAATTCGCACAACTTGGTATCTATTGTATAAATAGGACCTAAAGAATGAAGTAGAAATCTCATCGAACCCAGAAAAAGACAGTTTGGCACACAATAGGTCATGGTCGATCAGGTCAAAGGCCTTTGAATAGTCCAGAAGCACCAGTATGGATGCCTGTTTTTCATCTAGCGCTCGAACAATGTTGTCGGTGATACTGAATAAAGCCGATGTTGTGCTACGGCCTTCTATGAAACCAGACTGATGGATTGGAACCAAACTGTTATTCTTCAAAAAATTTGAAGCTTGTAGTTGGACAACCCTTTCCAAAACCTTAGACAAAACTGGTAGCAAACTAATTGGGCGCAAGTCAGTGACACCAACAGGGTTTTTCACTTTGGGGACTGGAGTAACCACTGATTTTTTCCAACATTGTGGAAAATATCCCATTTCTAGACAGCAATTTAATATGTGGGTAACATGATTTGAGAGTGTTAAGTCATCACTTCCTGCTGCATTAGACTTAATACTGGCAAAGCTTTTATATACAACACTTGGACTCACCAGAGTAAATGTAAATCTAACATTTTCCTTGCATTTGTTGCTGTTATAATAAGATATTTTATCATTGCATCATTTATCGGTTTTGTTGAAGACGCTGCAAAAATAATCATTAATGTGATTGGCATCAGCAAAATTGGTTTGAAGGTAATTACTTTAATTAGCATAAACTTGAAAATCTTGCAGTGTTTTCCACAGTTTACGAGCATTGTGTTGACCCTCAATAAAAGTTAAATATGCTACTTTTTCACGGCGAATAGCAGCCTTTGTCAAATTTCTTAGGCTTTTATAATAGTTACGATTTTCTAAAGTATTACTTGCATTGTCCCTTTCCTTCATTAAGTGTTTAATTGCTGTTGTTAACCAAGGGGCAGGTGGCTTGGTTACCTTGACAGTCCTACAGGGAGCATGTATTGAGAATAACTCCCTTAGATTTTCAGTCATAAAATTAATCTTATCATCTATATCACCAAAATAATACAAATCATCCCATTGGAAGCGCCCTAAATCATCCAAGAACAATTGATTATCAAAATATTTGAAATCTCTAAAGGTTACTAGTTTTGGACTCTTTTTCTGACTTTGAATTTTTATGTCGCAATATGTTAACATATGATCACTTATGCTGCTTGCATCAATTGTACCGCAAGCCTCAACTATACATATCTCTAGTATTAACAAAAATGGGGTCCAATAATGTAGCTGTTTGATTACAAATCCTAGTTGGCTCATCAATAATTTGGGAGAACCCGAAACTATCAAATAATTGGCTAACAGGGTTTAAAATATTAAACATGTTAACATTTAAATCCCCAAGAACTATAATATAATTATCTACAGGTAGAATTTCAGGCAAGAATATATCCAGTGCTTCAACACATGCTAAAACATTATTACCAGTACGGTATATGACACCAACAGCCAACTTCATTGGACCGGAGCCAGTACTGGGAATAGCCCTGAATACGCCTAACCTCACAATCTCGACCTGGGCCAATACAGAGGCCAAACAATATTGGTCGAGACAACCAGGCATGAACCATGCAAAATCCTTCGTACCCTGTCCAAAAGAGGGGAAAGTGGCTGGCATACTTCTAGGAATGTGGAGGAAGAGCCTCGAAGCACTGGTGGGTCTGTACACTGCACACTGCAAACTCCGTTATCTCATGCACAGGATCGGAATAGCACAAAGTGCCGAGTGTCGCCTATGCATGAAAGAGGACGAAACTGCAGAACACGTCCTATGCACGTGTACGGCAATAGGCAAAATCAGGCATGCTGTTTTCGGGGAGTCAGCTGTTCGACCCGAATACATAAAGCATGCTTCCCCCACACTGATCTCCACCTTCATAAGAAGAGCTGGACTGATGGGGGAAATATAAACTTGGAGTGAGCCACAATAGACCGGAGGTCGCAGTGGAAGGGCCGACATCGGACCACTCACAAGAAACCTAAACCTAAACTTGGTCAGAAACAGAAAAATACCAGTGGCGTTCACTATATCGACCTACAAATGAGTAACCATACGAAAATATACAAAACTGTATGATTATTCAAAGACTGTACATAGAAAACTGTATGATTATTCAAAAACAACATAGGACACTATATGGGAGCTCTATTTTTTTTCTAAGAATCTTAGGAACAAATTTTGTTGCATTCATTTACACCCTGTACATCCTAGTTGCCATGCTAGATACTGGGATCACAGGTTTTGATATGACTTTTCGTGTTCTTGAGCACCAAATAAATCAAAAAAACGAAAAACAAGTTTAAATTTGAAAAACCAATAATGCAAATTTTTATTGTTGTGCCTATAAACTCTGAATTAATTTAAACATTCACTTATAGATATGTGTAACAATAAAGCAGATTGTTTTTTTTCATATTTTTAACGCCAATAAAATCTCCTTACAAAATAAATTTACCAATCTATAATCCTATTAGTCAACGGATAACTAGTTGACCAATTTATCCATCTAATTGCATTACCTGGCAGTTTATCAGAAGGTGAATAAGCCGGGCCTGAAACTATTTTTAAACAAGTCCATTCAAGTGAAGCAATTTTTTAGAAATATGGAAAACTGTGACGATATTTATTTTCTAGAAAAACTGAAAGAGAATTTGTTTCCTTACAACTAATTTAACGATTTGACAAGCCTCTATTTTGGAACTTCTAGCTCAAAAACCACCGAGATAAAAATAAAATTTTGAAGATCAATTCTTGAAGATTTGAGGCAAAACATACTAAAAATTCAAGGGAATCGAACCGTTAATGATAAAGTTATGCATTTTCCAAATTAATCCAAATTAGGCCAAGATAAGCATTGACAAGCCTCTATTTTGGAATTTTCAACTCAAAAACTACCGGGGGCGCAAAAATGAAACTTTGAGGATCTATTCTTGAAGGTTTGAGGTAAACCATATTAAAAATTCAAGGGAATCGAACCGCTAATAATAAAGTTATGAATTTTCTTGTTTAGACCAAAATAAACATTGACAAGCCTCTATTTTGAAACTTCTAGCTCAAAAACTACCAAGGGTGCAAAAATTAAATTTTGAAGATAAATTCTTGAAGATTTGAGGCAAAACATACTAAAAATTCAAGGAAATCGAACTGCTAATAATAAAGTTATGAATATTCTAAATTAGGCAAATATAAACATTGACAAAGCCTTTATTTTGGAATTTTTAACTCAAAAACTACCAATTTTGAGGATCTATTCTTAGAGGTGAAAAGAGAAGTTCGATTCTCAACACACGAAAATCGTGAAAAAGGTGAGTTGAATTTTTTCTCAAGGTTTGCTTAGGTCACACGCGCATCTACGTTGCACGATAAAGTTAATTGAATTTGATAAGAGACTCATTAAAATTATGGTTAAAAACCACAAGGTGATTTAAATAATGGCATATTGCGAAATTACTAGGAATATTGAATCATAGAAAAATCCTGAATGAAAAAAAAATTGGTAGAGGTGCGTAATTCGTAGTTTAGTGCATAATTCACAATTCACAAAGTTGACCAACTTTTAACTTTTTAAGAATTAAGCACTATATCAGAGTAAAATTTGGCCTGTGCGCATATATCTGTCACAAGTGGCAAAATTTTTCAGTTTAATCGCCTTCAACCCTTCATCGTGAATAAATAAGTAAAATAATATTTATCTTGAATTTAAAATTTATATTCCAATATTGATAATATAATAACAAAGAATAAAAAAGTCAGCTGTTACTTTCATAATGCATAAATAATTAGCGCTGTCTAAACACTCGTTTTGCTTGTGCATTAAGTATTGGCTATTATGAATTGTGAATTAAGAATTAAGAATTGTGCATTATACACTATTAGCTGGCTAAACCCGCCTTTTCTTCACCAAATTATTAATTTTTTTAATTCGTCTATTAAAAATTCCCTGAATAAGATTGATAGTTTATTAATATCAACACTACAAGTGTATAAACTACTAAAAATACCCACATAATAATTCTTATAGGAATATCCCAAGAAAGACTCAACGCCGGTCAATTAAGTCTTGATTGGTGACAATTGGATAGGCGATACGCAAATTTATTTAAAAAAAAAAATTCATCAGTACAATAACGGCCGTAATTATCGATGCATGTAGTTCTTCAGATAATTTCGGGAGAGTGCCAGGAACTATGACGATATTTTCTAGTACCACTCTCAAGTTGAGTAGAAAAAGGAAAAATTTGTTTCAGTATTTAGCTGCTATAACAGGTACATACATATTTGTTTCTTAGTTATGCAGTAAATTGATTTTTCTGAATAGCTTTTTGGTGGTTGAGGGTGCCAGGGTACCAATTGCTTTTTTACAATTTTTCCAAATATATAGGTGAAATGTTACATGACCTTCAACTGTCATTTTCCTATTACCCCTTTATCATTGAAGACGTTCTGACTTTTACCTATTGCCTTTTAAATTTGTTTAACAACTATCCAAATAAAAATAATGCTTTCGATCTCGCCAGCTTCCATTTCTTGCCTAATCCATAGGAATTATTTCAAAAAAATCAATTTCTCCTCTGTTTCAGCTAATCTCGGAATAATATGCAGCGAAATGCACTACGGTTGGACCTCTCCATCGCTCCCAATTCTCCTGAGCGGCAATTACACCTTCACCATATCCAGCGAAGAAGGCTCTTGGCTCGTGGTAGCACCTTTACTAGGTGCCATTTTAGGTGCCTTCATTACCGGAATGATCGTTGATATTTTCGGCCGGAAAAAACTAGTAATTCTCTCCTCAGTGCCATTTTTGTTTTCATGGTTGTTCATTGCCTGGGCTAAATCCAGCGTTTTGATGTTTGTTGGACGATTCATGGCTGGAATGACTGATGGTTTATCATTCACAGCTGTACCTATGTATTTAGGAGAAATAGCTGAACCTAAAATTAGAGGCCTAATAGCATCAGTTTGCCCAGTATGTATAATTTTAGGAATATTACTGATAAATATTTTTGGTTCCTTTTTGTCTATAACAACAACTGCCTATGTTGGAACCATAGCACCAATCCTATTGCTAGTGACTTTTATATGGATGCCAGAAAGCCCGTATTTTTATTTGATGAGAGGCAAAGTTGAAGATGCAAGAAGAAGCTTGCAAGTGTTTAGAGGCACTGAAGATGTGCAAGTTGAACTAGAAAGAATTTCCGAAGCAGTTAGAAAGCAAAATGATAATAGAGGCAAATGCATGGATTTGCTAACTGTGAAAAGCAACAGGCAAGCTATTATTATTGCATTTGGCCTGAGGGGGGTGCAGCAATTGAGTGGTACTACCGCTATAATTTTTTATTGCAAGAAAATCTTTGAGGAATCAAGTGACTTTATATCACCAAGCTTAGCTACAATAATTTATTTTTTAGTGCAACTAATTTTGTCTGCCTTAGCTTCAATTATAGTAGACTTTTCTGGTCGAAGGCCTCTATTAATAATATCGATAACAGGTACTGCTATGGCACTGTTTCTTAATGGCGCATATTTATATGTTAAAGACTGTACTGATATCGATACGACAAGTTTAAACTTTTTACCATTAATAGCACTATTAAGTTTTGTTGTAGTCTTTAGTGTCGGCTTACAAACTATACCATTACTTATAATGGGTGAAGTATTTCCTACAAACGTCAAAGCATTCGCCCTATGCTCGGCCGATATTTATTATAGCGTAATCGTAACGATAATATCGAAATTGTTTCACTGGTCAAACGATCAGTTTGGAATGTACGTGCCATTTTTCGCTTTTGGTATTTGTTGCGTGTTGGGTTTGGTTTTTATTTTGTTGTTTGTTCCTGAAACTAAAGGGAAGACTTTGGAGGATATTCAAAGGGAATTGAAGGGGGAAAAACGACAGTATTTGTTTTGAGATGTTTTTGTTTAAGGAATTATTTGTAATTGATTATGTGAAGAATTTTATACTATTAATAAATACAAATAATAATTATTGTGTATTGAGTATCTATGTCATTTTTTTTCCCAAACATTTGTATTTATATCTGCAAACCGATAATTTGAAATCTTTCCAATATACAGGGTGGCCTTAAATAAACTGACACGTTTTCCATTGGGCTGATTCTCGGGCCAGGGAGTAGAGCTCCCCGATAGAACGAATGTTTTATCCTTGTCAACTTAATGGAAAAGTAAACGAGAATGATGAAGACAAAAAATTTGTTCTCTCGGGGAGCTCTACTCCCTGGCCCGAGGATCGGGGCTCAGGTAGATACCTATCTCGAATAAAGATAATACGAGATAACTTAGATGCAAAAAAATCATGTTATGTAAAATTTCTATTGAATACACCTTTGGGAAGCTTCTGAAAAATACTTCAAACAATCAAAGGGACATCAAACTTTCAGGATTTATTGAGTAGGGTCTTTTTATCAAACAGAACAAACCGCGAATGGATCTCAGGCTCAGAAGTGGAATTATGATTTTTTTCTCATTTAGATGCAAAAAAATCATATAACATTTTTATTAAGTCACCATTGAAAGCTTATGAAAAATACTTTAAGCAATCAGAAGGACTTCAAACTTTCAGGATTTATTGATTAAAGTCTTTTTATTAAACAAAATGAACTGCGAATGGATCTCAGACTCAGAATTGGAATTATGAATTTTTTCTCACTTTACAGAAAAATTGAAAAATTGATAAATCCCTCCAAATTGCTTAACACGATTTTATCTCAGGAACTATAAGTGCAAATGAGCTGAAATTTCCAGGGATTGTAGTCCCTTGATTGGGATAAAATTCAGTGAAAGTTTCAGCTTTCTATCTATAATAAAAAAAAGTTAAGACCTTTCAAAGTTTTCCAAAATCTGAATCATCATCATCTACCTTCTTACTAAAACGATGAAATTTCAAATTTTTTTTGTCGAGATTTCATATCCTAATGGTCAATCAACATACCCCAAACTCCTTACACTAAATTATTCTCAGATTTGAAACCGAAATTTATGAAAAAAGGCACTCAGAAAAATTGAAAAATTGTAAATCACCTCAAATTGCTTAACACGATTTTATCTCAGGAACTATAAGTGAAAATGAGCTGAAATTCAGGGATTATATTCCCTTGATTATAACAAAATTCAGTGAAAGTTTTAGCTTTCTATCTATAATAGAAAAAAAGTTATGACCTTTCAAAGTTTTCCAAAATCTAAATCATAAGGTAGGTACCTTCTTACTAAAATGATGAAATTTCAAATTTTTTTTTGTCGAGATTTCGTATCTTAATGGTCAATCAACATACCCCAAACGCCAAAAAGGCACTCAGAATCTTAGATGCAAAAAAATCACGTAAAATTTCCAATAAATTGCCTTTGGAGGCTTGTGAAAAATACTTCAAGCAATCAGAGGGATTTCAAACTTCTAGGATTTATTGGGTAGGGCCTTTTTCTCAAATAAAACAAACCGCGAATGGATCTCAGTTCTGGATCTCAAAATTTTCATTCAATCAACTTTGGAAGCTTTTGAAAAATACTTCAAGCAATCAGGAAGACTTCAAGATTTTGGGATTTATTGATTAAAGCTTTCTTATTAAACAAAATAAACTGCGAATGGATCTCAGGATCAGAAATGGAATGATGAATTTTTTCTCACTTAGATGCAACAAAATCATGAAAAATTTCTTTTAAGTCACCTTTGGAAGTTTCTGAAAAATACCTCAAGCAATGAGAGGGACTTCAAACTTTCAGGATTTGCTGATAGGGGTGTCTTTATTATACAGAAAAAACCGGAAATGGATCTCAGGCTCAGAAATGGAATTATGAATTTTTTCTCACTCAAATGCAAAAAAACGTGAAATTTCTATTGAAGGGGGGACTGGACTTAGAAATTTCCCAATGAAAGTCAGGGGTCATCGACTTAGACGCAAAATCGATAACAAGTGAGGGGACATTTTTTATTTAGGGGACGTCCAAAAAGCCAGGTCATGGCAAAGCCCATTACATATTTCCAACCAAAGTAAGGGAAGCTTCCCAAAGTTGAGGCACATCAGCTGCCATCCAAGTAAGGAAACACTACCAACAAAGTGAGGGCACGACAGCTCGCATAGTATCTCTCTGCAGAAGTAAGGGGACTTGCAAAAAGTAGAGATCACTAAAGTAAGGGGACGTTTTCCCACATATAAGGGGACGTCTCGAAAGCAGTAAGGGAACGTGTCCGAGATGGCAGGCAATGACAGCTCGCAGAGTATCTCTCTGCAGAAGTAGAGATCACTGAACTAAGGGGACGTTTCCCTTTCCCCACATGTAAGTGGACGTCTCGAAAGCAGAGGACGCGTCCAAAGTAAGGGTACGTGTCTGAGACAGGCAATGACGCCTCCAACGAGTCTGACATGGAAAGTGTTCAGAGTTTCGCTTCTAGTACTCCTATGGCAAAAAGAAGCATACCAAAAGTTAAGGAAAGACTGGAACCATATGCAGAATCATGCAAAGACTGCGATAAACACTTAAATCACGAGAACCTTCACAGAGAGGAAGAAGTAAGGGAACCAATAGAGATGACGACAACTCACTTCAAGGGAGCCCACTGCTACTCAAAACTAAAGTAAGTCAAACTTAAGCTGGTGAAGAGCCCCGAAAAAAGCAACAAGCATAAGAAGGGAAATGAGGCAAATGACAAACGTCATGTCCCACAACCCCTACAACAAGAGAAGACAGACCACCCTCCTCCACTAATAAGGAAAACAGGCTTTGGCAACCTTTTTAATGTTTCGATCAACTAGAGGTCAATGACCCACAACCTGAGGTAACTGCCCTCGACAACTCCAGAGAGGAGATCAGGACCAGAGCGGCCCAAGCCACATCACCCAAAATGCCTGCAGTCGCAGCCAAAAAGTCTCTTCCCCCACCAATAGTGATAAGGGAAAAGCTAAAGGATCACAAAATATTTCTGGAGATGGCAGGAACAATCACCTCCGAGCAGCTGGAGATGAAGTACGCCAGGAACTTAATCATCGTGTACACAAATATGAACGATCACAGCAGTATGGCTCGGCACCTAACGAACGATGGTGCTGAGTACCACACGTACACGGTGCCAACCGAGAAGACCCTAGCTTTTGTGAATAGGAATATGGAGGGAAACTATTCCACACAAGAGATGAAGGAGTACCTGGCGGAAAGATATGCCATGAGAATTAAAGAAATTTATTTGATGAAAAATACGGGGCATGATAACCTACTGTACCTGGTAGTCACAAGCTCAGGAGAACACTGGCGTAATTAAGAGCCAACATCAAAACGGTTTTCGCCTCCAGGGTACAGTGGAAGAGCAGAAAAACCGCAAGGACATATCACGTATGATCCTAAATGATTTCGTCAACAGTGAGCTCCGGAACCATAGATGGACAAAAACCCTCCTCCGGACTCTCACCCAACTTCCCTGGACAGGATGGAATCGAGCGTCGAGCGACAGCCTTTGCTATTAGGAAATTCCCCATCCCCCAGCACTTGCTCGCTGAACTTCCCGTCACACCAGGCGAGATTACTCGAATTATCCGCCGGCTTCCAAGCCAAAAGGCTCCCGGACCAGATGGTATCCCAAACGAGTCCAGTTGGTCCAAATAACAAACGTTGTCCTCAAACTGCAGCATTTTCCCTTTCAATGGAAAATGGCTGTAGTGGTTATGATCTCCAAACCTGGGAAAAACCTTACACTCCCATCTTCTTACCGCTCAATCTTCCTTTCAAATTCCTTTGCCAATCTCGTGTAGAAGTTAATCCTGTCCAGGGTCAACAGGATCGTCGAAAACTTCTTCCAAACGAGCAGTTCGGATTCTGCCCCCGTTACAACACCACTCTACTTGGAGCCAAAATCTGCTGTGACGTTTTCCAAACGTTCAACAGGCGCATGAACACGACACTTCTCTTAAATATGGAGCGCGCCTTCGATAGGGTCTGGCACGCAGGCCTTATCTACAAACTACTCGCACTCGATTTCCCACTTCATATGATCTCCCTGATACAGTCTTTCATTAGCGGAAGCACTTTCTGCGTCAAACAAGATGACGCCATCTCAAACTCCAAACCAATTCAGGCTGGAGTTCTGCAGGGGTAGGCACTTAGCCCGTTGCTGTACTCTCGGTACATTGCGGACATTCCAAAATTCCAAAATACAAATCTGGCACTGTACGCTAATGATACCGCTGTTTAAGGTCAATCTTTTCGAAAATTTCAGCTAGCCCATCACCTTTCAATCCTTCAACCGTATTATGATAAGTGGAAGCTTGGTGTCAATGGACAGAAAACAGAACTGGTATGCTTCCACAAGAAATATACACATAGCACCATGCCCACTCCACTTATTGTAAACAACTTTCCAGTTACTCTAACCCCGAAAGCCAAATAGGTATCACCCTTGATCAGAGAATGAAATTCCACCACCACGTTTCCCATGCTTTGGCTCGCACCTTCAGTGCGCAGCAGAAACTCTATCCCCTCATTGATCCTAACTCCCCCCTATCGCCAGGTAATAAGTTGTTAATCTACAAACAGGTCATAAGACCTATGCTCACATATGGGGCCGCTGTCTGGATTATAATCTCCACAATGCAGAGGAACCGCCTCCAGAGATTTCAGAATCGAATTCTGAAAAGAGTGCTGTCGGACTCCAGGTACGCCAGAATAAGGGACATAACTTCCTTATATCTGACTACCTGGATGAAATCAGCGACAAATTTTATAGACACCAAATTCTCGGCTCTACTCTGACACGCAGAATGACTGCCAAAAGAAATGATTCAGACAACCCCATAGTTCACGGTCCACCTTGCAAGAACCTATCAACCTCCATGAATACGTCCCCATCCCATGCACTTATCTAACTAACCTTTGGACGCCCCAAAATGACCAACAACTTTAGGCACAAATAGCCCAGTTTAGCTGCAAAAATGCCGGTAAATTCTTGCAGCCAAGCCCCCCAACCCCAATTCTCTGACATCACATCCAAACTTCCCCACCTGCACCAAAACCATTACCTAGAGACTCCTCAGGTCCTAGGTCAGGGTGCAAAGTTGTCGACCCCATTCAATCCACCCTCCAGGATTTATTGAGTAGGGTCTTTTTATCAAACAGAACAAATCGCGAATGAATCTCAGGCTCAGAAATGGAATTATGAATCTTTTCTCACTTAGATGCAAAAATATTATGAAAAATGTCTATTAAATCACCTTTGGTAGCTTCTGAAAAATACTTCAAGCAATCAGAGGGACTTCAAACTTTCAGGACTTATTGAGTAAGGTCTTTTTATCAAACAGAACAAACCGCGAATAGATCTCAGGCTCAGAAACGGAATTATGATTTTTTTTATACCTAGATGCAAAAAAATCATGTAAAACTTCTATGAAATCACCTTTGGAAGCTTCTGAAAAATACTTCAAGCAATCAAAGGAACTTCAAACTTCTAGGATTTATTGAGTAGGGTCTTTTGTTATATAACTACAATATCTATTTGAAATGTTCCAACAAATTCCTAAGAATAAGCTTTCATGCGCACAACATTCATCTTATTTAGTTTTTCTCTTATTCTGACATCTGCAAAATGACAGAAGAATAAAACTAGAGCATAGCACAGAAGGGCATCAATACCTACTTGAAGATCACTGACAATAAAAAATGCATGAGAAACATGCATGTAATATGTAAAACAGGTACCAGTTTAAATCCAACCAGTGGCAGCGATTATCCTATGTAGGTATCTATATTTTAACAACTAATTTGCAACTTAGGTCTATTTAGTCAATGATAATTTTTGCTATTTAAGTGAAGGAATATTTGCCTTTTGGACTAATTCGTTGTTATTTGTCTATACAAAATTATTGTCAATTTCGTAAAAAATATTTTCTGTTTTAATTAGATAGAAGACACTAAATGAGAAAGAAAGAAAAAAATCGATGCTTCAAAAAATGGTCTGAAGATTTATGTTTTATCTATTTTCGTAGAATTATTTGGCTCGACATTTGGTGTCATTCAAATTAGCATTTTATTTACAACAATAATAAAAAATCCTGTTTTCACAATAATTCTTCGTTTTATGTCAAAATCAAATAGTTTTACATAATGTTCAATGATAAGTATCATGGTTTATTTCAATTGTGAGTTTTCAGGGTTTTCACTATTTCTCCAAAAACTAAAACCTGATTAATAATAATAAATAGATAATGTAATGTGTAACCCTGCAAGTGCTAATAGATTTTGTAAATGTTGATTTAATGGTTTCGATTTACGTCATTGGGCTCTTCACTATACACCAGCAGGACCATTGGGAAATAATGTAATAGTGAGAACAAATAATTAAATTTAAATTATATAAAAATACCTACTTTGGTGAATGGAGAAATTCTTTTTTTGTATTATCTTTCTTATGTTATTGTTTGCTGAATTCGAAATTTATAGAGAAAAAAAAAACAAGAAATTTTGATAAAACAATTAATTATATCAACTCAAATAAATTCAAAAGTCTATAGTTGGACATATGCATAAAGATATATCAAAGGACAGAAAAACTATAAAAGCAAAATCAAATTTAAGGTTGGCCTTCACTCAAAGAGGGTGATCCAGATAATATTGGAAACTTTGTATTTGGTTGAAGATCCCCCGAGCAGGTGAAATGGCCGGTGGACTTTCACTGGTATACAAGCAAGTGAGATATTTCTTTGCAGTTCTTCAGCTCTTTCGTTGCATGAATGGCCAACTAATTATTTGACAAAATGTCGCCTGGGAGATAATGTCCAGTGATGCCAGTTTTCTTTTCCAACCCAATCGTTGATGTAACTTAAGGTCGTCAGTCATGGGCCGATGAGTTTTATTTCAGATCATCTACTGTCAATGTCTTAAGCTCAAAGGACATAACAGTGATGGATTTTAGGGTCTTTACCTAGCCTGTCCTTTTTTATTCCAGGAACTGGACATCTAATGGGTCATCAAGTCTTTAATTTATAGTCGAAGATTAGGCAGAAATGTTATTATTTTTTCTAGCATTAAATCATCCATCGTCCGCTCCTCTTCTAATAATTACCCCCTAGATATCTGCTCAACCTCGTGAGCATAAGAATAGAAACAAAAATATTGTCGTCTCTTACATCATTACAACAACAAAAAATATCACAAACGACAGATAACTAAAAATCACGAGAATATATACTGGATGGACCAGTTTTTGAAAATATTTAAATTTCAAGCAAACAGCTATTTTTCAATTGACACGTCCTATAGCTATTATGCGAGAACAGTGGTAATTAATGCAGCCTTTATATTTCCCCAAAACGTGTGCTATTGTCGCCTACGTGCTAATAAACTTGCAATTAGTATATACGAATCTAGGACTTAGATTATTTGACAATATTTCCAAGCTTAGAAACTGTACGGTGCGCCACTGTTCAGTACCATCTAACAAACGTACCCACTTATTTGCGCGATTTTTTATCGCTTCTTTTTCGTTTTCTTCCGTCCATCTTCATCTGAAATTATACCCATCAAGCGTCCATCCCGCATGATCTATTTTCATCTCTACGGATTCTTCGGAACGAGATTTTCCGTCTAAAAATAGATGGATATTCTTCAATAATTCGTTCCACGACAAAAGTGCTTACATTACATAGATGCCGAACGCTCACTAACTACACTCCACGCTCTCACGTCTTACCGTGCAGACCTAGACCTGGTAGAGTTTCCTTTTCTGAATGATGTCTTCGTAAATATTTAGGATTTTTTTTTTTAATCCCATTCAGGGGGGGTGATTAATCAGTTCAACTATTCGACAGAATTTATATAATTTTTTCGTTCGACAATTGAAGATTTAGTGACCAGTCATGACATATGGATTTTTTCAAAAATTTAAAGTGCCGGAAGGTAGTGCCTTTTTTCAGTATATTGCAACATTGACAGGTGAGTTTTAATTTTTTTTTTATAAAAAATATTTTTGTTCCATTACTCATTAGTGATTGAAGTTCTAAAACAAAAAGATTTTAAATTTTTAAGCAAAACACAGGTGAATCATGATAATTTTTTTATGTAATGGTCTATAACCACCAGTTTGATGGTTTTGCGTTAATGCTTAAAATCTGGTAATAATGAGTTAGGTACCCACCCTTTTTCAACTTTATAACCCTTGATTGAAGAGCCATAGAAAGTTGAATATTGTACACAACTTATTTTGAATTTTAAATTGATTTTTAGATGTTTCCTAATAGGAAGCAAATATACTTGATTTTTAATTAGTTTAGTCTGATTTCCAACAAGAAAATTATAGAGGAATGGTTTTGGATGTTTTTCTAAATTGCACACCGAAAATATTTCAGCCTTTAAGAAAATGGGATCGATATTCGACATATATTTCTGAGCAACATTTTTCAAAATTTTCAGCCCAAACACGAGGATTGAAGATGCCTATATAGGCTTCTTCATTCATCAAGGTCTTTTTCACCAAAGATAAATGAGAAATTCTAGTTCGAAGTTTGTTTTTGCAGACCTTCCGATTTTCCTTTGCATCGACTTATAATTTTAGTACCTACAAAATGATCTTAACTCTTATCCAATTCAAGTTTTGATACCTAAAATATAACACCGTGTTATTGGAGTTGTTCTCTGTTTTCAATGAAAATCTTGATTTTGCGATACGTGTTGTTAATTAATGGTTATAAATTTTCAGTAATTTCTCGGTCACGGCGTAAAATCTTCAAATAGGAGAAATTAAGGCTCCATCATGTCTGGATCGAATGGGCTTTATTTTCGTTAAATTATTCAAAAGTGTGATGCGAGGAAGATCCAGGTAATGGATTTTTATAAGTGAACCTTAAAAAAAATATCCTTAGAGTGGGTCAAAAACATAAATGCAGTTTGTCTATCTATTTGAATAAGAAATTGTATAGCAGATCTTTCTCATTATCATCTGTCCTGCCTCAAAAATTTTGACCAAAGCTTCATTTTAATCTGATTACTCTATATGAGAACTTTCGTTCTCATTCATTAGATATCCATTGCATTGGTTTCTCGATTAACTATGTCAATTACTATAGCTAAAGTTAGGGAACCTGTTATTCGTTAATCAACACACCTCTTATGGGTATTTGGTTTTCTGTCAAATTCAATGAAATTTTGATATTTGTTAGACCTTGACTTCCTGATGAAAAGTTCTCATGGGCTCGAACCAATCCTATAATTAGTTTTTGAGATACAGGTAGTTTAATGTCCAAGAAATCTACAGTAAGAATCATTGCAATTTGGCACACACTATATTAACGTGATTAACATCCCCCATGACGTGTCAAAATTTTACTTCATTGACACACAAGTAATGTCAATATCGTGTCAGATCGATAAATCAGTGGTGATCATAATAGTTTTAATAAACTGTTGAAGAAAAACAATATTTGTACACCGCTGCACTGAATAGGTCTATGGTTAGAATTTCGATTTAATACGTTTTTTTTGCATGCTTCCAGCTTTTTCCAAATGGGAAGCCCTATATTTCATTATATATCTTCGAAGAGAACAATGCCCCGATTCCAAAAATATATAGTTTGTCTATATTTAATTGAACAGTCTCTCATATATTCGGCTTCAAAAATTGTGAAAATACTATCCTACTACTGATTTCCCACATAACATTGAAAGAACATTTATATTCTCAGAATATTCCCTCAAAGTGCTTTTTGGAATGTTCTTTTAGGAATGTTCAGTGAATATTCTAAGATTGTTTCGATTGAAATATTCATTTTTGAACGTTCTATTTATGGACTAGGAATGTTTCTTCTATGCACCTACCTGAAAGATTGTGCTAAGAACTTACTTTATATAACATTATTTGAATATTCTCATACGAACATTATTATAATGTACCCTAAAAAATTTTCTTTCGGCTAATATCTCTATCAAGTATTAAGAATATACCTACCAAGTTGTGCTGAGAAGTTAATGTAGGTAGGTACCCATGATAAGAATATTTCCATATTGTTCACCAAATTATCTAAAGTATCTACTCAAAAATTTAATTGAACAATTAAACAATAATGCTCTATCTAGAACCTACTAAGAATATTATAGGTATATTCTTTTTCTTTTGCTTTGTAGGACTTCCAAGAGAGGGAGCCACGCGCTATTAAAGATCTACATCTTGCCTCGCGTTTGAATCACCTTGAAACCTGTTTCTCTCAGTTGGCGTGCTTCGACGAGAGCATAACAAGCTCGAAACCGGACCTTTGGTTAAACACTTGTGTTTTCCAGAGAAATTTTCCAACAATTCTTTCACTGCATTTAATATAAAAGGACTGGAAGGAGCATTATTTGGAAAAGAAAATTAACATTCCAAGTATATCCTTAGAATCAAACAAGAATGTTATGTCTAGGATACATATTGAGAATGATATAATATGTACATATATTCTAAGAATATTTCAAGCATATTGGTATAATATTCTTTTGAGAACATAACTATAATGTCATAGAAACATTCTTTGAATATGAGAATATACATTTCGAGCATATTTTTAGAATCAAACAGGAATATTCTTTTCAGGATGTACTGAGAATCTCATAGGTATATTCTAGGAATATCCCAATGTATTTCCCAGGAAGTTCTTGGGTATTGCAAACAGTATTTCTACAATCTTTTCTCAGAACATTCTCAGGACATTCGTAATGGTTTTGGCGAACATTCTAGGTATATTCCTCCTAAAAAAGGAACATTCTTAATACATGCTAAGGATGCAATTTTGTTATGTGGGTTTGTGAACCATTCTACCTGTACAGGTGAAAGCTGCAGGTAAAAGAGGTACTTGGTTTCTCTGATAGTATTTTTAAAATTTTTAAAACCAAATATGTTGAACACGGCTCAACCAAATACAGACAAATTATATAGTATTAAAATCGGGAAATTGTGCTCTTCAAGAATATAGAACCAAATATAGGGCATCCCATTTGAAAAAAGCTGAAAGCATGCAACATTTCACATTTCTGACATTCAATTTTTATTTCTGACCATGGATTCTAAAAATTTAGCCAATACTGTATAACTTTTGTATTTACATCTTTCATCTACTTGTAAAGGTGAAGGCTGTAGGTGGGGTGTCAATATATAAAAAAACACCCTGTACGTGAACAATAACTTATTATATGAAGTCAGAATTTGTAAGATTATCCACTTTTTGTCAATTGGCCTTTTAACAGGAATTAGTAATGTTACTTTACTAAACTAGTAACATAATGTGACAAGTTATTCAAGTACAAATGAGTGAATTGTTGCGGAACTATCTATTTATCAATATGTTGTTTAATTACGATACTAACCTGACTCACTCAAATGTGAGTTGTTCTCATTAGTTTAAAAACTACACATTTCAGGTGAATGTCTTACTGGAACAGTTCAACAGTATATTGGTTAGTAGATGGCTGAGTAGAGGTCCACCCATAAGTTCCGCAATAATCCACTTATTTGTACTTGAACAATAACTTATTATGTAAAGTCAAAATTTGTAAGATTATCCACTTTTAGTCAATTTGCCTTTCAACAGGAATTAGTAATGTTACTTTACCAAACTAGTAATATATTGTGACAAATTATTCGAATAAAAACGAGTGGATTGTTGTGAAACTTATGGGGGGACCCAGCCATCTATTCACTAATATGTTGTTCAAGTACAATATTAACCTGATTCACCCAGTTGTGAATTTTTCTGTGTCTTATTTGAACAGTTCAACAGTATATTGGTGAGTAGATGACTGCGGAACTCGCTGCGCTCGTCCCGCAGAGGTCCGCTCATAAGTTCCGCAATAATCCAGTTATTTGTATAGGGTGTTTTTTCATATATTGACACCCCACCTACAGCCTTTATCTTTACAGGTAGAAGAAATGTGTAAATACAAAAGTTGTACAGTTTTGGCTGAATTTTTAGAAATCATAGTCAGAAACAATATTTGAATGTCAGAAATGTATTTGAAAAAAGTTGGAGGCATGCAATATTTCACATTTCTGACATTCAATTTTTGTTTCTGACCATGGATTCTATAAATTTAGCCAATACTGTGCAACTTTTGTCTTTACACCTTTCATCTACCTGTAAAGGTAAAGGCTGTAGGTGGGGTGTCAATGTATAAAAAGCACCCTGTACATTTCTTGGACACAAGTACCTGTATCTCAAAAACTAATCATAGAATTGGTTCGAGCCCATGAGAACTTTTTATCAGGAAGTCAAGGTCTAACACCTATCAAAATTTCATTGAATTTGACAGAAAACCAAATATACATAAGAGGTGTGCTGGTCCTTTATCTTTTAAGTTAACCTAGAAAAAAATAATAACGGTTTTCTCAACTTCCATTATATTGGACTTCCGTTACGTTCGTTAATGACGTCATTTTGTTTGTTCGAATTGCGCGTCAAGGTCAACCGTGACAGTTTGCAGAGGCGCAGAAAGATTTTTGGGCTGTGTTCTTTGCACTACGCAGTTTGGAACTATTCTGGAATGATTTCAGCTTTGTTTTGGTTTCACTCAGAACTAGTTTTGAATCATTCTGCACATGCGCATGTTATAGAAAGCGTTTTCCTTTTTTTCAGTCTCGTAATCATACTTAAAATAAGCTTTACACATCAGTATAACTTTTGGATGATTAGCTCTTAACGAATAACTTTAACTTGCGTTGTATTCTCCAAAATTTAACGATTAACGATTATCGAAGTTAACTTTTACTATAGTATTAGAGCATCTTGAGATTTCCAACTATAATTTGAATTTACCGAATCCTTTATACTAATCGAGCTCGTGTTGTTGTGATTGTGATTTTCAATTTTAGGAAGTTTTATGGTCCAAAATCACATCCATCATCTGTTCAATGTCCATGATCCCTTGCGTCTCCATCATCATTTTGTCTGGCATTTCCATGGGCGTCTCGG